CCTTTGAAATCCACCCGGCCCCCAAGCCCGACTTGGCTGCCATCCCAGCCCACGACCTGCAGGCGCAGGCCTTGGCCAAACTGCGTCTGAATTCACGCAATTCCTTCCTCTTCGTGCCCCGCCGGGAGGGCGGCCCAGCTCTGCCCCCAGCCCAGAGCGCGAGCCCAGGGCTGCCGCCCCCATCCTTGGAGGGGAAGGCACCGAAGGAGCCCCCGAGGGCTTCCGCCCCGGAGCAGGAAGGGTCTGTCGCTTCCCCGCCGGCGCCTCTGGATCCATTGGTACCTGTGACTTACATCGATGACATTGTGGAGCAGGACAGCGGGGAGCTTTCTCCCAGGGCTCTGCGAGGACGGGGAGCTTGGCGGATCAGCCTGGAGGAGCTGGCCCTGACCTGGAGATGGAGTTTTCCTCCGTGCCCCTCTACAGACCCCACTCTGCCCGCCACCAGAGGGGAGGCAGCACCTTCACTGTCGTGCCCAAAAGGAAGCCCGTTCCCTCGGGGCTGCAGACTCTTATTGATGCCAGTGGAAGGCCGCAGCGGGAGGAAGAGGAGGAGGAGGAGGAGAGCAAAGGAAAAGGCAAAGTCGTGGAGAATGCTGACGGGCCCCAAGTGGGCATGGCCCATAAGAAGCGCTACCCCACGGTGAATGAGATCGAAGTGATTGGGGGGTACCTGTCTCTGGAGAGGTCCTGCATGAGCAAGACGGGCTCCCGCCGCAAGAAGGTAACTGCCTGGGGTGCCTCTGTGCTAAAGAGCCTGGCTGAAGGTAGCTCGGTGCTACTTCTGGCTTGTCTTTCCATGAGGCACTGGGTGGGAAGATGGGCAGTGTTTTTCTGGTCCTTTTGAGAGCCAGAGGCTTGCTGTCGGGGAGGGGGCCTTGGGTGCTGCTCCACCAAGTAGACGAGGGTGGGTTGCGACCCGTGATAACTGCAGGGCCTCTCCCACAGTCGCTTCTTGGAGGTATGATAGCGGAAAGTAAAAGATTTCGGGTATTTAACACATCGAGGTGAGTCCCCTGGTTTGAACGGCTGTGGACTCACCCCAGCTCTCGCTCTGCTCGCTGTGTCTGGTGGGTGTTGGGGACGTTGAGCTCCCCGTGGTCACTGCCCGGCTTGTGACACAGTACAGTGGGCAGCGTGGCATTGGCGTCTTCCCCGCATTAGTGGTCTATTGATAGAGGCTCGAGAATTAGGTCTCTATTAGGCAGAAAGAGATCAGCAACAACTTAACTCCCCTTGATAGGATTATACCACCTGGCTGCTCGTTCTGGATGTGCAGCTACATCTCAGAAGATCCCTGAGATGCTGATTGCTCCAAGTGCCTCTGGTGTAAATGCCAATTTTCTCACTGCTTGAGGTCTAACTTAGATTCTTGTGAGCCTTAAATTGAGAGTTAATCTTTGTATGGCTTGGTGAAATGCATCTGGATGTGATAAAGAGACAGTCTTTGAAAGAGTGGGTTATTTTGCTGTGCCAGAGGAGTAGGCGTGAATTGTTCGGCTCTGAAAGCAGCACACCGAGGTGAAATATCCCAGTTTCTAGATCTGTGATGTGACATGTTTTTCCATAGCGGGAAAAGTTGTTTGACGTTCCGTTACCTAAATTCGACTAAGTATTTGATGGACTGAATCCCCATGGGTGCCTGAGGCACTGAGGATTAGAATTTGAGGAAATCCTTTGAATAGGGTGCATCTCATTTAGGAAGGAGGCAGGGAGTGCTGTTTCTCATGGCTTAACGTTAGAGTCCTTCCTAAGAGCATGTGGTCTGTATTAATTTGATTGTGACTAACGCAGGTAGCAGATCTGGAGCATAAACACCATGAGATCCAGAATAAGGGTTGATTCTCGCTCAGTGCTCCTGCAGTTTTTCCTTGTCCTCCTACAGGGAAATGCTTGATCGGACTGGAATTGTTCTGCTGCTTAAATACCTGCTGCCTTGCACTCATTCTAGCTGTTTTCTTGGCTCTCCTCAGTTCAGTTTGGGGTATTAATTGGATTTACACCAAATCAGGTGTGTGGTATAATGGTGACAATTATCAAGGCAACATGTTACGCTTACGGGTACTCTTAGGATGGAGGAAACGTTGCGGGACAGCCACTCTTGGATAATCTCGGCTTCTGATACAGCCAGAGGAGCAGATTTCTCTGTGCAGGGTGGCAGCAGCCTTGCTGGTAAAAGAAGTAAGTAAAAGTAAGCAAAACCAATTCAATGGTGTGCAGTGGAAGCTGTCTTTAACAGTACAAGAGGGAGGGAGGGAGATGAGGACAAGGCTTGTGCGGTGACTGAATTGTTTAAGGTGGAATTGCTTATAAACTGGAAGAGGAACCCAGAGAAGTAATGACATCTCCAGCCTTGGAGCCAGAGCCCGGGGAGAGCCTTGAGCAACTGATCCAGTCAGACCTGCTTGGAGCAGGAGTTTGGGCTAGAAACCTCCCGAGGTCCTTTCTCAACCTCAAATATCACATGATTCTTTGAAACTGGTTAATAACTCTCTTGTCTGGTCAGTGTTGGATTTGTGTGACACTGGGCAGGTCACATAACTTCTCCGCCTATGTTCTTCTCAGTTTGGAAGCGTTAACGATCCCACTCTGCAGGCACTCTGAAGATGGAGTGTGCTAAAGACCCCAAGATGCAGGTGCAACTGTAACGGCGTTCGCCGAGTGATACGTGGGGGATGTCCTGCATGAGAACTTACGTAAAGATCTAGTTTCTGAGAAGAGAGAGATTAAAAGGCAAAGGAGGAACTGCCTGTTACATTGTGGAGCTCAGGAGGCTGAAACAAGTGGGGACCCTTTGGAAAATAATACCCAGCTTAAGGAAAAGTACTAGAGCCACAAGTTTCTGGGTAAAATTAAATGTGGCGATGTAGTGGGAGGAACATCAGGTTTTCTTTCAGTTCCCTTCCTGCTAGGGGTGGCAAGCGTGGAGTTTGACTTTGTAGCCAGGGTTTAGAAGATGCTGATGCTGTAGCGAATGGAAAGATTTCTGTTTACTCTTAACCAAGAGGATGTTTGTAGCTTTCACTCTGGGTAGTAAGGCTGAATGTTGATGCCTGAAAAGGAAGGAGCTAGTATTAGGATGCATTCCTTGGTTTCTTCCCAAGAGATCGCTGTGTGTCACAAAGGCAACCGGCCAAAACCAAGAGTTCTGTTTTGTAGATATGTCGGGGTTTTCAGAAACTTGATTGTGGCCTGAATTGGGCAGAAGCAGACATTTCCTGTGAGCTGGAAGCTGCAGTTCTTTGGTAAAACCAATGTACCTTTCTCTTTTGGGGGTATCAAAATCAAACCTGATGCTGGTTTCAGTGAGCAGCTACCCAGGTCTTTTGGGGTGATTCTTTCCAGGCAGACCTACTGGATGAACCCATCTCCTGCTGAGCGTCTTCCTTTCCAAACCTTGCCTTGGATTTGCTGAAAGTGTGTTCCTGGCTCCAAAAAATGGTGTTTAGTGAAACTTTGATGACTTGGAAAACTTCGTCCGCTTGCTGATGCCCAG